TGAAGGATCATGTGACACTGAAGACTGGAGTAATGATGCTGAAAATTCAGCTTTGCATCACAGGAATAAAGTATATTTTAAAGTGTATTAAAATAGAAAACCATTATTTTAAATTGCAATAATATTTCACAATATTAGTCAAAAAAAGTCAAAGTCTGCTTTATTGTCAATTCTTCCACATGTACAGATAGATAGATAGATAGATAGATAGATAGATAGATAGATAGATAGATAGAAATTCATTGAATAAAAATTCAATATTCAGATTTTTTGTTTCATTAGTCATATTAAATAGATTCCTGATTTTTATGAGCTTCATTGTGCCATTTGATAGATGAGATGCACAGACAGAAGACTTTATCTTGGGGAAATCCCTCTTAAGAGAGACTTTGAAATTTGACAATTCTGACATGTTTACATGTAACTGCCAGCATGGGGTTTTCTGACAGCTGCTTCTGTTCCTTCAAAAGCAAAAACAGTCTGTACTGTGTAAACCTCACAGGAACTGCTTTCAGCTGGTTTTGTCACCACAGCAACAACAACAAAAAAACACTAAAAACGGCCAAAAAAGACCATCTGTTCGCAGGCAACCGTATCTGAGATGACTAGAAAACTCAGCTAAAACCAGTGATTTGGAATGGTAGCTGGTTTGTTTGTTGCTGGTTCAAGATGGTAGCCCAGATAGCTGATCACTTAAACTGTTGCAAAACCCATTTTTACAGTAGCCCCTCACTGCAGAACACAAGATCCAGGGGGCGTGGTTGGATCCACATCTAGGGGGTGGAGATTGGTAGGTTTAGGGGTGGAGATGGGTGGGTTTAGGGATCAGGGGTTGGAGACGGTAGGTTTAGGTATATGTAAGGTGTGAGGAGTTGGATCTGGATCTTGTGTTCTGCAGTGAGGACCATCTCCTGATTTAAGTTGGATTTTCCAGGATGGGTAGATTCAACTTGACAAGTCACCTTTGAAGTGCCAGATGATTTTCATGATTTGACAACTTCTGAATCCCTGACCGCTCATCAGAGTTCAGACCGGATGACAGCCGGGACACTCTGCTGCTCCATTTTGTTCTCTAGCGATTGGGAGTGACTCATTTTGTCAGATATAGCGGAACTCATTTCAGAGTGAGGCAGCGTTAATGAGACGCTCTTTTGATGTGGAAATCCTGCTGGCACGGGGAAGACGCTGATACCGTCTCCGCTGTCATCCTCAGGTGCGGCGGCTCTCCTATTGGACACCGGCAGTTTATCTCTTAGTCGCCACACAAGGCTTCTTAAAAGGAAGGAGACCGCAATTACGCAGACTTGTGACCCGATTAAATCCATTCAAAAGAACACAGATCCACTCCAGTCAGCAAAACAAAGAGTGTTTTTGGTTTGAGTTTACGCCTCATGTCATGGCCTCTCATCGCTCATAGAATTAACACCTGCTTTTGACACATCTTGGAGACGCTTTGTAACATAAAACGAATCGGTAAGAAGGAAATGGAGCTAGAAAGTTGTGTTAGTCAAAAAATCCTGAAGCAATATGTGCAGGTTTGGTATGGGAATTTAAATCATAATGTGTAACCAATCCTAAAGGATCCTAATGGAAGCAAATAATAAGAATTTAATAAAATAATAATGAAAATAAAATACATATCTAATGTCTATAAAGTATATCTAATACTGTATAATATATTTAATCAACTACTCTTGCTTTAGGAGAGTTAAAGGAAATAAAATAAAATAAAATAAAAATATTAGATGAACAATTTAAACTTAAAAAAAAATTAAACAAAAATTAGAAATGTTGCCTTAGCAAGGAACTAAACTAAAGTACTAAAATTAGCAAAACTAAAACTGAAATTAAAAAACTAAAAGCGATATAGAGATATTAAAAAAAAAACGAATAAAAATGACAAAAGCACATAACAAAATGACTAAAATAAAAAAAAAATGAAAATATTAAATTCAAAATGAATTCAAAATGTAATAACAACTATAACTAATACAAAATAATAATAAATAAATAATAGGATCAATATTACATCATATTTATTTTAAACACATACTTTTATGCCAGTAACTGCAGATGATAAAAATAGATTAAAGAAAATTCCAATAATTATTTCAGCCTGTTCTAAAGTTCTAAAATAAAAATCTAATACAATATTTCCCCAAAGACTTCATTTTATATTTCACGGCTATCACAAAATTGCAAGCAGAAGTGTTTAATACATCCTCAATTTAAACCAGCAGCTCTTATGATTTAAGTAAGATCAGTAATAAAACTCATGTGCTACGCATATTAACTTAACCCTGAGTTAATATCCACAACATTTATTTCAGTGTGTCCTAAGTAATTGGATTGCATGTACACCGTCTTGCACTCAATGGAACGAGCATCTATTAATCAAAGCTTAATTGCGCACATTTCCCAGATAAATGGCGCCGCTTCACGTCCAGTCATGTACAAATGAGTCAATCCGGGCATATTCATTTCTTATCTAGCAGAACTCATTTGAGTCGCATAATGGCGATAAATAATAGAGGTAGAAGTTTATGAAATGGGATATTCTCCGTGAAGGAAGGAAGGGCTTTTAAAGCAGTGCAGACGGGATCTCTGAGGAATTGCTATCATGTCACTTCTAAATGACTCCAATAGCAGGTAGAACAAGGCCAGGAAATGCGATTCTATTTCTTACTGACTTCCACTGAAACTGAATAGCTTCAGCATGCTTAACTATGGACATAAACTGCACCTAGCTGTAAATACCCATGTAACTGGAGCTTTACATGGCTGTTTAAATATTAAATGAGTTTTTATGTTGGCTGTATATTAGTGTCTGTGACCAGCTCAGTTTTTGAGTGCTAACGAGTGAAAGTGTTGTCAGACTGGCTCCTTTTAGCTCCGACGAAAGAGTAAATATTTGCTCTTACAGTGATTTGGACAGCTGACAATGATTGGGACAATTTATTATTAAATAAATAAATAAATGCGTTGCAGGCACTAGAATAGCTGCAAAAGTTAACAAGGATTTTATGTTAAAATTCATATTTACTATAACATTTATTTTTAAAAATAAAAATATTCCAATCATACTGAAATAACATGAATTATCAGATTTTGCACAAATGTATGGAATTTATGTCAGCTCAGGACAAACCAAATACTAAGAAATTCTCAAATATTATTCATTTGAATTTTGAAAATTCAATATTTTTATATTGAAAAAAATATAAAATCTATTTTTAATATATATGAACAAATGATTTTATAATTAAAAAACCAATATCAAATATAAATAATATTAATATTTCATTGTATAATTTAAATGTATAATTTAATAAATTGTAATATTATAACACTTATAATTTATATAAATATGTATATATTAATATGAATATGTAAATATATTTAAATATAATTATATATAAATATATTTATAAATATTTACATTTACATATATTTATTTTTTATTTATATATATAATTTATATATATTTACATACCAGCAACACTGTTAAACCTAGTCTTCAGTAAATCTCTAAATGTATCAATTTCTCATGATGTATTGTGAGGTTTGAATTCACTTTCACATTTAAAACAAGGTAATTTTATTTTAATTTCATTTTGTTATTTTAAAATGGTTTTGACAACAAACAAAAACAAAAAATCTGTCTATTTTTTTGGTCATAATTTTAATATTTGTGTATCACCAAGATAATATGTACTGAACAATCAATTTTTTTTGTTACTGCATTAACTTTAGTTATTATTATTATTATTATTTATCATTTTGACAAAGTAAAGAATTTTAATATCTGCAATTGATTGGTGTCATGGTCTGTGTTGGAGAGGAACGATGGAGACGTGGATAATCGAATGCAATATAACAAAGAGTGAAAAATTGAAGGGGGTCTGAATACTTTCCGTACCCACTGTATATGAAATATTAATGTTATATAAATATCACATTTGCAATCCCATAGTATAATTTCTGTCTATCAAATCAGATAAATACGGAGCATGTCAAACATTTGAGTTCATTCAATTAATTTTCCTGTAAAAACAAGTTAAAAGTGAAGTGTGTAATATTGTTCAACTAGCATAACCAAACTTAATAATTGCCAAACAAATGATTGTTTTCATTGTGTCTGACAAGTCAGGATGATCAAACAGAGTAATATTTTGTTACAGCTACAGTTTGTATGCTTTTCAGAGAAATCAACCTCTGAATGGCTTACTTAAAGTAAAAGAACGTATTTTGACACCTTTTAAAAAATGATACACTTCACCATTTCTTCCTCTGGCTCTCAGCATTAGGATAGATCTGGGATTTGAGGAATCGTGTTTGTGCCTCACACACTCGCTCTCTCTCTCGGCTGATGACTCACCAGAACTGCTGCCACTTCTCCTCTTCAAAAACATCCTCTGGGATCGGATCGATCAACACCAGGTCAGACACTTGCCTGAAGAGACAGAGAGAGAGAGTGAAAAGACCACACAGAGGATGTTTCTAGAGCTCAGATGAGACGCCACACACATCAAGCGAGCTCCTCCTGTAACCAGGGAGAAATGAACAGCATCTATCGAGTGAGATGAATGGGCTCAGAGCCGCAGCAGGGACAATATTTTCAGTCCTTGGGCGCTACAGGCCTAACGCAGCTGAATTTATGGGTCTTAAAGCTGCACATCAGAGCAGATGAAAGGTTAAATCTGTCAGATGGAGGGTTTGGGGGAGTGTGCGCCGAGAGGTCGTCCCAAGCTGCACTGATGGATCTTTTGGTCATGGCAGGTGTAAATGTCTGGAAGAAAAACCCTGTTAGGCATATATAACACTATTCGCCAATGTATTGTACACTGCTGGTCAAACATTTGGAATAATTATGACTTTTTTTTAATGTTTATAAAAGAGGTCTCTTTTGCTCATCAAGGCTGCATAAAAACTGCAATATTTTGAAATATTATAAACTGCTTTCTATTTTATTATATTTTAAAAAGTAATTTATTTCTGTGATGGCAAAGTTGTATTTTTAGTGTCACATGATTCTTCAGAAATCCTTCTATTATGGTGATTTGGTGGTCAATTATTATCAATTATTATTGGTGCTCAATTATTAATAATGGTTCTTATTATAAGTGTTGAAAATGTGTTGTTACCAATGTTTTTACTGCTTAATATTTTTGTGGAAACCCTGATACATTTTTCTTGATTCTTGGATGAATAGAAAGTTCAAAAGAACAGCATTTATTTGAAATAGAAGTCTTTTGCAAGATTATACATTTTTTATTGATCAATTTCATTTCATTTTTTTTTTATCTTACTTACCCCAAACTTCTAAATGTATCAAGGTTTCCAAACAATTAAGCAGCACAAATGATTTCAGCATTGATAATAATAAGAAATGTTTCTTGAGCAGAAAATCTGCATATTAGAATGATTTCTGAAGGATCATGTGACACTGAAGACTGGAGTAATGATGCTGAAAATTCAGCTTTGGAACACAGGAATAAATTACATTTTCAAATATATTTAAATTGAAAACAGTGCATTTAAACTGCAATATTATTTTATAACATTGCTGTTTTTACTATATTTTGATCAAATAAACGCAGCCTTGTTGAGAATAAAAGACTTCTTTCAAAAACATTAAACAAATCTTTTAGTGCACAAACGTAACGTGCATTCTGTGGTGGAAACAAACTTCCCGACATGTTCATATATGACTGACAGACTGTGTCAGCATGGCTTACGTGTCATGGATGTGGCTGTAGAACCTGCCGTTGAGCGTGCCCAGCTCAGAGCCAATCAGGATGAAGGGTGTGGCTATATCTGCAGCCTTGACCAATCGATGAAGGTCATCCACCATCCTGAAGGATAAGAGAGGAGAGATACAGGTCAGGAATGAGAGCAGGTTTGTGCAGAAAAAAGTCTAGACATGACTCATCTGAGAGTTCATTAATCACTGAGACACATTATGACACACATGTCTGTTCACCTTCAGACGGGACACCCACTGTCCCAGACTGCTGCCCAGTTTTTAAAGCGGTCAGTGATGTTACATGAAGGATAAACTGACCTCAAACCAGACGCTGACACACAAAACTAATAAGCACTGTGTACCATGAGACACTAATGGGTTTTATTTCTGACATCCTCATTAACTAAAAGGCCATGAAGATTCAGTGGGCACTGAGTGGGATTTACTGCAGTTTGTCTTTGGGACGTGCAGGGGGTCAAGAAAACGGTCAAGAAAAACTAAAGACTGACCGACATTGCTTTTCTCAGACTGACATCAGTTAAGATTCCATGAGTCATTTTTACAGAACAAATATTTAATATTTGTTTTATTTCTACCTTTTGGCATAATAATAAAAACAAAAAATAAAAACAATAATAATAAAAATAATTATATTATTATTGTTATTATTATTAACAAAAATAATTATTATTGCTGTTGTTTATGCCATTAAATTTATGCATACTATTATTATATTTATGATTATTTCACATCATCTAAATGGTAATCTTTGTTTTTGTTGTGTCTAATCATTAAGCACACATTTCTAGTGTTTCATTCAAATTAAGGTGAAAAGTGTGAATATTCATTATAAAAAATCATTATGTTTCATATTTAATTCAGCAAGTGGTGTCCTGGTATTATTTAAGTTTAAATTATTTAAATGATTTAGTTTGCATTTTTTTATTCAATTTTGTGTCAAAGTCCAATCAAAAAATGAGTAAAGAAAGATATGTTAAAAACAGTGGTTAATATTTATTCTTTGAACACACTGGAAAAAGAAGGTCAAGTTGAGCACATTGCAGGATACAGTATTACACACAATGTTTAGTACTGTAGTATATGTAGTCAACAAGTCTAAGAACAAAACAGCATGTCCTTCTCAAAAATTAAAAATAAAATTAGTATGTATGTACTATTGGCTTTCCTTCAACATCAAATCACATCAGTTTCCAAATGAAAAGGTTTCAGTAAAAAACAAAAAGGACACATTCTTGCTCTCGGCTTATTGAACTTTAGGAAAATTATCTTGCTGTCCGCCTTCTAAATGTGCCAGACAGAGGAGAAAACAGGACCACTGATAACCAACTCCCCTGTCCTCTCGCTACACATCACTTTAATGCATGAAGAAATGTTACCATGTCAACAGCAACAAGATAAGTGTGACTCCACATGTAGGATGAATAAACCTGAAGGCAGGACGTTTTGTTGCCAGAGGACAAGGACAAAGACATCTCTGTCTTACAGCCCTGATTGAATAGTAGAGCAGGTCAATGTCAAAGATACGAGATGCACAGATACCTGCGTTAAACTGTTAACGTGGGAGGGGTGTTTCTTTGTTTTTAGATTTACTGCCTAAAATATCCATAAAAGCTTTATGTATAGACAAGTACACTACAATTCAAAAAGTACTTTTTTTTTATTCATTTTAATTATTAAAATAATAAACTGACACTTACTAGCAAGGACACATTAAATTGGTCAAAAAAGACATTTATAATGTTACAAAAAAATTATATTTCAAATAAATGCTGTTCTTTTAAATAAATTACATTTAAAATATATACAAAGAGAAAACACTTTTCAAATTGTAATAATAGTTCACTATAATATTTGTACTGTATTATTATTCAAATAAATCAAGTGACTTCTTTCAAAATTATAAAACATCTTACATCAAACTTTTGAAAGCTAGTGTATATATAACTAGAAAAGTTTAAGACTCAAGTATCAATATTTCACCACTGTTACAGAATAGAAATATCAATTTTTAAAATTGTGTCAGAAGGTCAACTTTCATTTTATGGACCATAGTGGAAGAACACATCATTTCCCAATGCTCTAATTGATGCCAATGATATTTGGACATGTTTTGGTGCTGTCACACTAGGCCTGGGCTATAAAACGGTATCGATATTTATCGATGGTACACCCTCTTCGATAACGACAGAAAAATTTTTCGATATAGCGCACGATATAGGCACGTGCTATGAGTGACGCAGACAGCACACACAAACACAAACACGAACACATGCTGAATTGAGTGATGTGCCTGCCTGTGATGAGGAGATTGTGAATAAAAAAATGAATATTAGTCGAATTTAAAATAAACATTTGCATTTGAATGCAAAAATAGTACAATCAAATGTTAGGTGTGTGTCTGGGAGCGTCATTAGTGGAGCGCAAGATACGGTGATGATGTAAGTGACGTTGTTGCATTTTAATGTTTTGTTAGTCTAGCCCACAAGACGCGCAGTTGCTGCGTTATTCATTCAAAATATTAGAGAAATATAGTAGCTCAATGCGTAGAAGATCTTGATTAGGTTAAAACCGAAACCAAGCCATTCACACAGAACACAGCACTTTTTAGACGGACAAATATGACTGCTGCTCTCACGTCTCACACAAGAGATGTATAGAAAGCCATGCAAAGTTAAAACAGTTTAAATGTTTATTAATGGCGATTCGGCTCTTTGGATTAAGCAATGCATAAATCCATGATGCTGTTTTGTTCATAATTGTTTATGCAATTTACGAAATTATGTTTGATTTATATGAGTTAATTTAGACGTAATGCACGTTTTTCTTTTTATAGACAGTTATTTCCTTTGCGTTGGTAATTTAATGCGCTGCATTATTTTGCTCATTGTGCCCCCCTGTGGCTTCGGGAGACAAGCCAAAAGTTTCCTTCAGACCTATTTAATCTGCATATAAAACATTAGAAATTAGATATTTGTTTAATTCTTATTTTGTGTTTGACTGTTAAAACAAAAAATATCTGTTGTTTGTCTCAATAAATTGGGTTAATTTAAAAATACAGTGGTTAAATTTAAACGTTTTTTTCTATTGCTTTTTGTTTTAAAAAAGGTTATAAAAAATGTCAATAATTATCGATACCGAACGATATGAAACATTTTATCGTTGATACATTTTTTAGCTATATCGCCCAGCCCTATGTCACACCAACAGTGTTTAGTTTCAGACTAAGACACTTTCATACCTTCCGGTGGTTGATATTCCCCAGACTTTCTCTGTGCCTGTAGTTTCATTCTGCAGGGTTCTTTGGCTGAAACCCAGACCGACTCTGTCATAGGTGCACACCTGAGAAACAGATCACAGATCAAATGTCAAGAAAATGACAGCAGGAGAAACCTCACCTGACACTCAAAAAAAAAAAAAAAAAACCTCACTGATAATTCCTTTAGGAAATGTCATCCGCAAATTGCAATATTCACAATGTTGCACAATTTCACTATCGAAATCATCAACTCATCTTAATCATCGATTATCACAAATGTTTTCTACATTGTCTGGCTCTACTGGACAGTCACTGCGATGCAGGCCATCAGCAGGAATCTCCAGCACATCATGACTAGGTTTGTTCTGACAGCATGTCACAGAAATGCTTCACCGCCTCACTGCCTTGACTTACTAGAGTAATACAGCAGCACATGCTCTGAAAGCTGAAGTCTTATAACTTCACTGGAGAGGAAACTCAATAATGCCTTTATGACTCTCATCAATGACAGCTGTGGTGCTGCTTTGTTTATTTAATTTAACACGACACTAGTGCACGGCTTTCTCTTATCATCTCCTTAATGGAGGAGTTTTCATAAGCTCATTCTAAACAGCAAAAGCTAATTTAATCATGTTAAGTGTTTTTTGTTTTGGAATCACATGCATAAAACAACACTACTACCTAAAAGATATCACTGAAATAGGAGTCATTTTGCAAATGTAGGTTTAATGACATGCCACATAGATGTGAGCTTGTGAATTATACAACATGAGACGAGAATAAGACTAGGCAACAATAAAGTCATAGTCAGACAGCAACCATCAATCAGTTGTGCCGTCCTCGCTGACTGCAAGAAAAACACACAGTACAGTACAACAAGCTATTCAATTCGTAAATTAAAACACTCAGTTACTCAATCAGTCAAACTGATTGGCAAATCATACTGAAGAGTCACGAACAAATCATGATTCTCCAGTAACTTACTAAAATTTATTCTAACTTTACGAAAAATTGTAGAAACAACTGAAACCACACAGATGCAAAAATCAATTACTTTAGGTGGCCTTATAATCATGTTAAGATTAAATTTATACAAAGATATTTCATCTTAAATATATTTCATCATATACAGTGAAAAAGCTACGCCGTCACTAAACGCTTTTTTTAATATACCTCTGTGCTCCAGAAAATTATTACTGATAAATCTGATGATGGAGATTAACGTATACCAACCTGAGAATCATTTTCCATTTCAATATTTCAGCAATTATGTCATATGTTTCTTATCACCTGTTTAGAATCAGATCTAGCAATGCCAGATTCATAAATTAATCACTCTTTTTTTATCTAATTGATCAAATAGGATTGCAAGAAGGTTTTTTGTTTGTGATTTTTGTTTGTTTGACAATTCACTTACAACCTTGAATCATTTGCAGTGGTTTCTGAAATAATAATGGGATACTTTATAAGCAAGAATACAAAAAGAACGATGGAAGTGGTGAATAGTTAGCCTACATTTTTAGGCTGTATTTACCTACAGTTTATTGTAGGAAACAAAACTTGCAAATGTCTCCTATCATTTGCCAGCGATGAAGCAGTGATGATCAGTTCAATAACAGTGTAGATGTTGCAAAGTTTGTGTCATTATTTAGCTCAGTGCCGATCAAATTGTGTACTCATCTGAGTTAAATCAATAATATTACTGAATATTAATTGTCACTTAAACCCCATGAGCTGAGAACTGTAATGTGTACTTTTTGAAAGAAAGGTTAAAAGGCTATTGTATTTGTACAGTTAGTAAAACTGAAATTAAGGAAATTACTAAATAACTGCTCATATGACAATGTGTACATAGAGAAACACATTCATACATGAAGATACATGAAACAAATTATATATTTTCTTTTTTTTTTTTTTAAACGTCCAGTTTTCAAACATCAAGTACTCATGGTGGCAGTTTGTTTGAACTAACCTTTGTTGATAATGAGAGACTCTCCTGCACATAATACCAAATATCTGAAGACATCCCTGCTGGAGCATCAAGAACAACTGAAACAAAAATGAAACATCATTTTCACTGTGCACAACCCACAATATAAATATCAGATTTTTTTTAGATGAGCTATTCTTTTAACCTACCAACAGGTTGTCCGTGTCCTTTGCACAACAGATAGATCTTTTGGCCGAAGCCGATATCAATCAGCTGAGCACCTACATATAGAAAGAAATATTAAATCAAATGAGCTGAAAAGTTGCCAAACTGCACATGATCCTAAAGTCTTCCTGAAGAGATGATGAGGTCTCACCTGTGGATGACAGCACCTGTCCCTCTCTCTGCAGGGAGGCGTAGTTCAGGAAAGCTGGAGTGAAGATGATGAAGAGCAGAACCTTCAACCAGAAGGACACAACAGTCCAGCAGCTCCTCTGAGACACAGTCACCCCAGAGTCCTCTGAAGTCTGTGACGGAGTTGAAATTACATGTCAAGCAGTGACAACAGTGTCCAGTGACATGGTATAATCCAACTAAAGTATTTTTTCAAATATTGTATCATTTTTATTATATACATACAGTTTTTATACTGATACACCAACATATCGGCCATTTTTATATTATTTGCATCATCCGATAACCCTTCTATCAGTTTCAAAATCCAACAACAGCCTTGGCAACATACTTATTTTTGTTTAATTTTGCAAACATGCAGCCACAGTTTCAAATTATTTACTTTTAATTTATTCCCAAAGTGTTTGTTTATTCATTACGTATTATAATTAAACTATTATTATTATTATTATTATTACATAATTTAGAATAAACTATGTCAGAGCAGGGTATTTACAAAAAAAAAATGGCACAATGAAGAGTTAACAAATAGGAATACTATGATTCTTTCATCGATTCTTATTCACTGTGTACTTAAAAATTTACCATGGTAATACTACACTGTAAAAAATTACCGTGAATTTAACGGTAAAAGACTGTAAAAATGCTACAGTAAAATCCTGTTAAATGGTTAACGGTAAATTCCCCTACTATATACAGTGAAAAACTGTATTGGACATTACATGTATTGGACATTAGTTTTACGGTAGTATACCGTTTTTGGAAGTGAAAAAGAC